TATATCGCCCATCACTAGCACAAGCAAGATTCAGCTGCAATACTGTTAAGATAATGTACTTGGCCAATTGGTACACCTGTTAATGCATGCAGGATGGCACTGTACATAAATAAAAGACAATTCACAAAATGCATGTCTTTTTATTGACCTCCATTTAAACATTACGTTATTTTAAAAGCCACAAAGGGAGAGATAGTAGAAAGAAAGAGAGAGCTATAACTAAAAAGAGATACATGTATATGCTGCATAGAGTAGTAAAGAAACAAAAACATATGTACAGCAGCTTATCAATCTTACACTATACATGATGGATTCATGTACACACACTGTTGCCAGAAAACAAAAAAATGAGGAAATATGACACTCACCTTCTCGCTATAAAAGAGGATGGGAGAGTGTCCATCTTTGTTGCCATGATGAGGAGATTAGTGGTAGATATCAATTGTAATCTGATAAGTTCCACTTGTAGTAATAAGTATTATCTAATACAAAAAGAGAGAGAGAGAGAGAGAGAGAGAGAGAGAGAAAGAGAGAGAAGAGAGGGAGGGAGAGGGAGAGAGAGGGAGAGAGAGAGAGAGAGAGAAAGTGATAGGGAAAGACAGCAGAGAGGATGGATCAAGGGATAAAGAGATTGCAATGAGACATATTTTCTATAAAACACAACTCGGAAAATATTTGTTGGAATCAGCTGAAACTTTCTACACAGCATGAGGACATCAATATGCATCAGAAAATGCAATAAAAATTTGGAGTGATTTTGGAGCCATTTTTCGGAAAAAAAACCATGGGCTATGGTAAGCATAAGAGCTTGCTTTCCGGGTATAGCAAGGCTGCAAAAGTCGTGGCAGCCATTTTGAAGGGGGGTGAATCCTACTTAGTAATGCTACCGCATTACTAATAGCCTTTGAAAAGTGGCTGATTTTTTTAAATGCTCATAACTTGAAAAATATTTGTCAAAATTAGATCAAACTTTCTACATAGCATAATGACATTAATATGTATCAGAAACTGTAATAAAAATTTAGGATAATTTTGAAGCCATTTAAAAAAACAATTAGCAAAAATTTGACGCTGAAAATAAACAATCAATAATCAATCATTAATTACTTCAAATGAGTTATAAGACCAAAATGTCCATACTTAAATGGTATCATCAGACATACAATTTGTTCCTCCTCATGAGGCACAACAACATTAATTTATCTAGAGAAAGAAAAATATAAAACAGTTAAATTATGACATAAATACAGGGCAATTGAATGTTTATATAATTTATGATCTCTCTAGCATTATATTGACCTTTTAAAGCACTGTTGCTTGAAATGATCAGTCATAAGGATAGTATATTGTCGTAAAGCGTTATGCATGCATGCAGTCACCAAAAATCATCAGATTTTCTGTTTCAGTATATACCTAAAGTATGAGAGTTTAAAACAATCTAATTTAGAATTATAATTAAAATACACATATACTCTAAATGGTTAAGACATTACCAGTAAAAGTGAAATTAATAATAAATACAGTAAATGGAATAGGAAATGATCATAAGATACTAAATCCTTAAGTGGGTACTAGGCTTTTATTGCTAACGGTATATGCTGCTGCCCATCTTGAGGCTTGTTATGGCTATCTGCATTGCTGACTGCATCAGTGTTGCTGTCCATTGAGAGGCTTGAGAATGCTAACTAACTGCCCATACATTGACATTCAGTGTGATCAGTGTCCTATCATAAGGTGTAAGGCAGGGCCAATGTGGTAACTCCATCCAGCACCCCCTCCATTAAGGTTACGGGGCTTGCCAATAGAGCCACCCTTTAGTCATTAATGTAAGACATACTTTAAGGCCACTATTATTTGCAAGTAATAATTTTTTTGCATTTTTTGTGAGTGGCTTTAAAATTGCAAAAATTAGTACTCGCATTTATTAATAATTTACGTTTATTAATAGTTATTAATTTAAAAAATGAGCAAAATTGCAAAAATTAGTACACGTTGAATCAATACCATTAACAAATTGCAAAAATTTGTCTACTTAAAATAAGTGGCTTTAAGGTAATTAGCAGGAGGAGCTTGAGTGGTAGGATAGAACAACATCAAGGTCAATGGTATGTGCATGCAGAATGTATGTACATTGAATATCATTCCTTAAACGTAGTCTACAGTGTAGGTAAATTAAGCTATACCATAGATACGGGTCTAATATCTATGGCTATATACCCAGTGTTATAAATGTACAGTGCACATGTGTACCTTTATATAAGATTTATTTGATGGCCGGGTTAATTTCTATGACATATAGTATTAACAACAAAGTGTAACCTTATAACATTATTAATTTTATTTAAATGCATACATTAATAAATTCCTTTAAAAACATGTATTACCCCACAAATTCACAAAAAATTAATCAAATCTTTATAATATATTGATCAACCAATTAAGAGGAAAAATAAAATTTGCTAGGAACATTAGCTGCTTATATTTCCTCTAGCTATTATTGCAAATAAAGTTGACGGTCAACAGTAAAAGATTTCAAGATTACTGTTGGCATCAATCTGCTGCTTTATCATTATTAAATGTTAATTTGAGCTTTCAAGAATTCAAACAATCAATTATAACAAAAAATAACCAATCAAATCAATAATTTGAAGAAACAACCTAAAGTTAATAACCTAATAATAATAGTTAGCAAAAAATAATGTTACAGTCTAGTTCTTTGAGCTTTTACCCATCTTCTCAAACGACTCAATAAACTCATCAAATTCTTTTTTATCTTTTTCACTCATAGGCGCCGGACTTGGAGGAGGATATGGGTAATCTATCAGCTTAGGCTCACCTTTTGTACGAGAATTGTACCTCTTGACAATGACACATGGGATGCCTTGAAGAATCTTTTGAGTATCGGTCTGAATTTGAAGTGCAGTCTTTATACGCCAGACAACACCATAAGGATAGTTAACGACAATCATTTCACGGTCCACGTTTCGCTTTTTTACAAATTTGTTTGGTGGTTCAGCAGAAAGAATGGATATAAAGTACTTACGTGAAAACAACTTTTGGTGATTATCACAGACCTCTTTTGCTTCCTCCTCATCGCTAGCAAGGAGATTGTCGGCATTTATTTCGACAGCGACAACAAATCGACGAATCTCTAAAGCAGGAATGTTGTTTTTTTTGCAGTAAAATCAGGATTGTAATGGTCAATCAGTCCGGTCACTTTTAGCAATGCTAGCCTCAATACTGCTCCAGCTGTCCTGGAGAAATCGTATTCTCTATCCCAGGTCTGAGGTAATTCGCATTTCTTGATCTCATCAGACTTAATTCTACAATGCCCTTTAAGCTCAATTTTACCAGCTTCAACTTGCTGGTCAAGCCAATTACTGACCCTTGCAAATCTCCCCTCTTCTTCTTCTTCAATGTTAAGGAAATACTGCTTGCCGGAATCCATCTAGCTATATAATTTTTGCTTTGGAATACGAGATGATGCGGTCACAAATGATGACGAGCTACTCTTAGCTAAAAGTGTCATCCTTTATATAGGACAAGGGTGGTGTGATTGATTGAGAGACCATTTTCAAGAACTACATGCATGTACATATAAAATATATTAGAGGTCAAGATAAACATAATAATAATGTACATGTATTAGACCAACTGTACTACATTCACTGTATAAAATGATGTGGAGGACTAGGGTGTGCCTTGCTAGGCAGCTGGTGACGAGAAGTTTCTTAGAAGTACACATAAAATAACTTAAAGGTCAACACAAACCGCATGTACACATTAATAATTATGATACTAACATCACGTGCATGTACTTGTATAACATTTTTAAAGTATCAAAAAATTCCCTTCCAATGCTTAATTTACCACAAATAATTATTATTAGACAATTCACAAGAAATGTGTATGTATTCATTATATTGACCTTGTTTTAAAATTACAATATCAAAAAAGACAGAGAGAATGAGCTCAAAAAGACAGAAGAAAGACTAGTCCTTGCCTACGCAAAGGTGGGCGAGGCCAATAAAGAGGAGAATGAAAAAAGAAAAAGAAGAGGAGAAATTTAGGGAAATTAAAAGAAAGATAAGGAGTGATACTAGTACATACATGTACATGTACAAATTAATAATGATTGACACTTCTTAAATCTACTACATGTACATATTTTAAGTTAACCACAATATAATGGGAACTAACATTGTGCTCATATGAGTTTATTTGATTAAGCACAAAAAAAGGAAAAAATGCCATAAGGAGAGTAGGAGACAGGCTTATAGTATGTGATTTCATTAAACATGAGCTTTGTTCCATTTGAAAACTTCAAGTTTAAGCAATAACTTGCATGTATCAACATGTGTACTATACAAGTACACGTGACAATCAACCTTTACCAATCCAATAGAATGTCTTACTTTAATACAATAATGACAAAGTTATACATAATACATGTGCATGTTACATGTATATTGCTGGGATTGACCACAATGAACTCTCATAATGATATATTTAATTTTGGTAAGAAAGGTGGGCCAAAATTAAAAAATCTTATGAATTTACGACACAAGGAATATGACCATTTACAAAATATAAAATAAAAAAATAACAATTTACTAGTAAATCAAAATGAAAAATACTTTATACTCCTTTTTTAAAAATTAAAAAAACCTAGTATAAGGACAGTAGCATTGTGATACGCATATTGCATATACGCATAAACTAGATACATACATGTACATGTACGTTCACATAGTGGTATATATGACTCACAGAGAACTGTTCCAAAAGCTTCATGTGAATGCCATGTATTGAAGGACCAGCTGGTGATCACGAGGTTCCAAGAACTACACGTGAAATAACTTAAGGTCAAAAACAGGACCGCAATTCACATAAAATAAGATAATGCATTTCATGCATTACATGTATACATGTATGATATTATTTAATGCATTAATAAAATTCCCTTTCAAGCAACACTGACAATTCATAAGAAATGCATGTATTCATTATTATATTATTTTTATTGACCTTGTATTAAAATTACATTATTGAAAAAGCCACAAAGGGGATAGTAAGAGGACTAACTTATACATGTACATACAGTAGTCAACAAACAGAAACATACAGCTTTGAAATCAACCTTATATTATATACATAAGTTCATGTTTACTACATGTACACATATTGCTGTGAAAACAAGAAAGCGAGGACATGATACTCACCTCCTCGCTGTGCAACTTTCACTAGAAGGGAAAGAGGATGGGACAGTATCCATTTTTGTTGAGACATGATGAGCAGACTAGAGGTACATATGAAGTGTAATCTCCTGAAAAGTTCCACTTGTGGTAATAAGTATTATCTAAAAAAATGATAAAAAGGGGGAGAGATTGAGACATTATTCCTATACATATTAGGAGGATATATACATGTACACATGTACCTGTAATTGTGAATTACAGGTGGCTACTGTGAATTCTCATATGTCATATTTAAGTTTTTGGCAACATTGCTAATTATTCATAATTAATAAAGAAAGGCAAACCAGAATATTTTGTGCTGTATAACAAGCTTATCACTGCCATTTATGAAATTATTAAAAAATGTAACAATCTCATATATTATGATGTACAGTAGTATAGCTCCCTTAAGACAAAACTTGAGAATTATAGCACATACTTAGTACATTACATATATTGTACTACATGTATGCTCAGACGTACATGTACTTCATATATACATGTACCACAGAGTGTATGGTGTGACTGTGAGAATTGTTTCACGTGAATGTCATGTATCACTAGGCCAGCTGGTGATCACGAGCTTCCAAGAACTACATGTAAAATAACTTAAAGGTCAAAAACAGGACCGCAGCATATAAATAATATAATAATACATACATACATACGTTTCTATTGAGTATTATGCCTATATGCATGTATTGTAATTTAATGTATCAATAAAATTCCCTTCCAACAATCTATGCTACCACAAATAATTATTTTTAAAGACAATTCACACGAATTGTATCTATTTATTATTTATTACATATTCAAAAGCCACAAAGGAAGAGATAGTGGGGGGAGAGAAAGAGAAGACTAATAATACCTGTACATGCATGTACATGTACATCATACATGTACATACAGTAGTAGACAAAGTAAACATTTACAGTAGTAAACATGTACATACAGTTGTAAACGGCTACTGTGAAAAATAGAAAATGAGGAAATGACACTCACCTTCTCGTTGCAAACTTTCACAAGAAGAGAAGGAAGATGGGAGAGCGTCTATCTTTGTTGAAACATGATGAGCAGACTAGAGGTACATATGGAACTGTAATCTCCTAATAAGTTCTACTTGTTGTGGTAATCTAATACAAAAAGAGAGGGCCAGGAGTCATAGGAGAGACAGGAAGAGAGATAAAAAAAAGGACGGAAGAAATAAGAAGTGAAAGATAGAGGGATTGAGGGAGACAGCTAATTGAGGCATTATTTCTATACAATATGTACAGTATGTAATATGGGGAGGTTACACATGTACGTGTGATGAGGGACTATCTTGTTATATTTAATATTCCTGGTTAATCAACAAAAAAGACTAATATAAAAAAATAAAGAGAAACAGCACATTATGTGTGCATACATATCATTAAAAAATTAAAACATAACAGTTTCATATGATGTGGAGTAGCTCCCTTTTATGACTATATACACTTGAGAAAGCACAGCACTATATGTAATGCACATAATATGCCTTCGAGGTCTATAGCAGCAATATGAGACCTAAGCCCTGAAATATCTGCCCAAGGCAAAGCCAAGGGTACATATTGAGGTACATGTACATGTACTACATGTATGCTCATATGTACGTGTACATGTACTTCATATCATACTATAGAGTGTATGGTGTGACTGTGAGAATTGCTTCACGTGAATTTCATGTATCACTAGGCCAGGTGGTGATCACGAGCTTCCAAGAACTATACGTGAAATAACTTAAAGGTCAAAAACAGCATATCAATAATATAATAATAATACATACATACGTTTCTATTGAGTATTATGCAGATACATGTATTGTAATTTAATGTATCAATAAAATTCCCTTCCAACAATCTACGCTACCACAAATAATTATTTTTAAAGACAATTCACAAGAATTGTATCTATCTATTATTCATTGACCTTATTTTAAAATTAAATTTTCAAAAGCCACAAAGGAAGAGATAGTGGGGGAGAGAAAGAGAAGACTAATAATACCTGTACATGCATGTACGTGTACATGTACATCATACATGTACATACAGTAGTAGACATATTCAACAATACATAAACCCATGTACTACATGTACCTGTACACATACTGTTGCTTTAAAACAAGTAAATATGACACTCACTTTCTTAAGAGAAAGAGAATGGGAGGGAGAGTGTCCATCTTTGTATTTTAAGACATAATGAGCAGACTTGGCCTTGAATAAAAGATATGTTTGTGAAAAAAGAGAGAGAATTGAGGATTGAGAAAGAAATTGAGGGAGAAAGAGATCAAGTAAAACATACTGAAAAGTTTCAGTTTAGTATAAGAGTGTTATACACAAATATATAGTGGTACATGTCAAGGGCTATCAATAACTCTAATATGTCATCTTAAAGTTTTTGGCAAAAAGCAAAATTGATAAAAAGGAAAATTAATTGATAATAATAATTAAGAAAGATAATACAAAATTAAAACATTTTATACACTATATATTATGCTCATCAATATAACGCCATTTAGAAACAATTTCATGTATAATGAGGAGTAACTACCTTAAGACAAAACTTGAAAAGATGCATTGTGTGAAAAAATTGTATTGTGTTATATACAGATATATAGTGGTACATGTCAGGGGTTATCATTAACTGTCACATGTTATTTTAAAGTTTTTAGCAAAAAGAAAAATTAATATTTGATAATAAAGAAAGACGGCACAAAATTAAAACATTTTAATCACTATATAATATGTTTTTCAACATAGCGCTATTTAGAAAATCATAACAATCTCATGTAAGACAAAACTTGAAAAGATGCAGCACTAGAGAGTAAATACTTAATCTGTACATCACATATTACATGTACATATTTGTGTACTTCACGTACAATAGAGTGGCAGGACTGTGAAATAATCTACATGTGAATGCCATGCATTGATAGACCAGGTGGTAATCACGAGCTTCCAAGAACTACACATGAAATAACTTAAAGGTCAAAAATAGGACCGTAGCATATCAATAAAATATTAATAATAATAACAACACATACGTTTCTATTGTTACAAGTATTATGCACATACATGTATTGTAATTTATTACATTAATAAAATTCCCTTCCAAGCAGCTTTCATGCTACCACAAATAATTATTATTAAAAGACAGTTCACAAGAATTGTATGCATTTATTATTTATTGACCTCATTTTAAAATTACATTTTCAAAAGCCACAAAGGAAGAGATAGTGGGAGAGAGAGAAAGAGAGCTAACTAAGAAGAGATACATATACATGTACATACAGTAACATTAGTAAGCAAAGACATACACCATGAGGACTGAAAATTGTTAAAATGGGCCTAAGTCTCACCACCCTGCTTGCATGCCTGAATAATCAATAATTTTGTAAGCTAGCTTACCTAGAGTACACTTTTATGTGCTCTGAGGTCTAGTAATGTATATGTACTTGTCTACTTCTGCCACCTGTCAGTCTGTACCTCTTAGTTCCTCCATTCCTTCCATTATGTATTATTCAGCTCACTATCAATGTTCAGCCATATCCTAATAGGGGAGGGGTTGTGTGGTTTATCTGTTTGTACTACACAATGTAAACATTAATTAACTAAGTAAAAATGGGATTCAGTATATAGATCTACTAGTGGACTGCATACTTCAATTAGAATATCATACCCTAAGACAAGCAGGCAGAAGGAGAGAGAGAAAAAAGATACAAGTATGGAAATGCAGTTTTGAAGAAATACACATACAGTACAGGTGCATGTATCACAAAAATATAGTGAATATAGTACTGTATCTACATACTTTATAATCATAATGCATTAGTGTAATGAAACAGCTTCTTGTGTCCTCATTTGGCTAGTAATGCATAGAAAATACTTTATAAATTACAATGTGATCAGTGACATTTAAGGGCTATAGTAAACAAAAATAATTAGCTACATAACAAAAACAACAATAAAAGCAGCATGAATCCGTTATTTCAGACTCTATTAGCAGAGTTTGCCACAAAGCATGCTAAGTGAGCCAATGAGCATGAGCTTCATGAGCTGACAAGCACTGCAATACTGAGTACGTGGTGGCATTTGGAGCAACTTTAAAAACTCATAAAAATCTAAATTTGACCAGAATCAGTTTAAGCTTTCTACACAACATAAGTACAGTTATGTGTATCATAAAAGTATAAAATGTGGACTTTTCTCCTTTTATTTTTGACAAAATTTGATAAAAATTCAATTTTTAAGCATATTTTTAAAATGGTAAAAAATTCAAACTTGATTGACTTTCTATACAACATAAGTACATGTATACATATCAAGAAAATTATTAAAATGGAGAATTCTCACTTTTTAATTTCTGAAAAAAATTACAAAATTTATGTAGTATAATACAGGGACCATTGCCCAATTTTCGGGCAACTTTAAAAGATTCAAGAAAAATCAAAATTTGATTGGAATCAGCTCAGAGTTGATACACAGCATAAAAACATGCATATGCATCACAAAAAAATTATTAAAATGAAGAAATTTTTATTGTGATTTTTGTCAAAATACCCTGTACAGAGTCTTATTTGGTCCAATTTTTTAGCAAATTGACAATTCACTGAGAAGAAGCTGCATGAACACAGTATCCTGTGGGAGCCCTGTCTATCAATACAAACAAACACACACATCAAACCAATAGACAGACTGTTTTTTACAAGTTTATAATTACTGATAAAATGACTACAACCACTATGAAATCACTATACACATAAATATTACTGGTAGTAAATGCAGTAGCCAGCTAGCAAAAACATAATTACAACCCCTACCATACTACTACTAGTGATAATGGTAACTGTATTACTACTAACAATGATATAATATTCTTGGATGTTAATGAACTCATTTTTTGTTTACTCAAAACACTTACTGGCATATAATCTATTGATCTATCGTTCCTACACACACACACACACACACACACACACACACACACACACACTATTGTACTTCTAAGAATATAGTGAGTGACCACATTACTTATACAATGCAGTACATTATCTAGTCCTCTTGTAGGTTAATATTGTTTGAAAGGTATTTTGGGAGGCAGCCGGAGGACTTTGTCTAAATCTAGGTTTATTTGTAAAATAGATCATAACTAAAGTACCACGGTTATGATTCTTCTCATTAATAATGCTCTATAATTGAATTACTATTGAACAGTTCAATGATAAAGTTATCACATGGCTCCAAATTTTTTTCAGTCAAAAATTTTGTTAAAATCTTAATTGTTTGTTAAAATTAATTTTTGTCATTTTTATTTAAATATGCATATTAAAATTTTACGTAATTTTACGTAATTTTAATTACGTAAAGCAAAAATTTTGTCAAGCAAGAATTTTTGAAAAATTTGTCAAAATTTTTGATTCACAGCATTTGGAGCTATATGGCATGCTTCCAATCTCTAATTTACTTACAATAGTGTGGCATACTGTTTGTTTGTTTTGTCTGTTATCATTCTTAAAGTACAACCAATAATAATTAATGTACATAATATTATTAATAATAACAGTAAACTTACTCTGTTACAAAGTTCATTAAAGTGATAATACGTTAAGTCTAGAGGTCTATGAGTAACTTTTGTCCTAAAACTTCAACTTAGTCTGCAAAAAAAACATAATTTTAATTAACTGTTAATAATACCTTCTACTAGTTTATTGGTTGAGTGCAATCCTCACAACATTTAATTCTAAAAATGAGCCCCCCACTTTTATATTGGTGTCTCTACCCCTGACTATAACTTAAAGCAAGTTTAAAAATTGAATGCAACTATCACAACTATATACATTTCCATATTTGGAGGATGATGATTAGACTCACTACAGCATTGCTAATTATTTGAAAGTGTTGAGGAAGTAAACAATTCACTGGTATATAATCTATTGATCTATAATTGCTCCTACTTCTAAAAATACAGTCAGTAAAACATAGTCACATTATAACTAAATATTTATAGCTAATGATAACTTAGTCTATAAATATCATCTTTCACACTAAGTGAGTCAATGTGCCAGTCAATACAGACAGTAGCTATGTCTCTCCTGTTAGTGGTTGTTCTCTTATTCTTCAGTAGCTCCTGTAGTGTCTCCTCTCATCAGTATTATGTGTCTGATGACTGCAGTTCAGTTATTCAGTCACCTTGTCATAATTTATCAGTGTATGCTGAGAATATGTCTCAATACAGTAACACCATCTTCTACTTCATTGGAACTACTAACATTAGTAACTATGTTGTTAACATGACTGCAGTAAAGAATGTTACTCTATATGGACAGGATCAGTCTGCTGGTATCAACTGTAAGGGAGTTTCTAAAACTAGCAAGGGGGTTACTGATTCTGGAATTTTGATACACTACAGTGATCATGTTGTTATTTCTAACATATTGTTTAGTGATTGTTTCGTTGATGTTAAATCATCCAACAATATTACAATAACTAACTCTTCTTTTGCATCAGTGTCTCGGGCATTAAATTTATTCAATGTTTTTGATGTTAAGATATCATCATCGGAATTCCTTTTAAATCACCATTTGTTCATTTGGTATTACCCTCCTCCAGTATGCAGCAGAGAATTCCTCCATTACTCATTGGTACTGACTAATGTTATCTTTAGTGGCACTGCTAAGAACAATGAAGTAGGACTATCTATACAAGTGCAACAGGGTACGTCATACAATGTAACAATCATCTATGATCATGTTTACTTCAGCAATCCAGAATCTTATGCTCTCTTATGCTTCAGTGATAGCATTTTTTCTATTTTCATTACCAAATCATTTTTTTATGTTAGTACTTATGGCTCTTCTATTAACTTTCATGACATTTCGGAACCAAGTGATATTATGAACCCAGTATTTTATGACAGTAATTATGGCTCTTATATTGATTTTCAAGAAATTTCAAAACTAAACAATTGTAAATATCCTGATATTCAATTAACTTCTACTCTTGTAATTGAGGACAGTCAATTTTATTATAATTTACAAGGATTGTATATCACTAGTGACAAGTACTTAGCTGGCACAATTAAGTATCACTTTATTATTAGATCATGTTTGATATATGGCAATAATGAAGGGATACTCATTGATGGAACACTTTTAAGATCCACTCAGATTGATATAATAGACACTGAACTTATTGGAAATGGAGGAAATAAGATAATGAACAGTTTATCTAATGCTATTAGTCTCAGTAATGTTATTGTTGCTAACAGTACCTCAACAGGATTGACACTTAAAACATCATTAGTAACATTTAAAAACAATTTCATATTTAAGAACAATAGTGGAGTAGTTGGAGGAGGATTAGCAATAAATGACTCATCAATATTGACATTAACATCATCAGCTAACTTGGAGTTTATTGATAATCATGCTTCTTATAAAGGTGGAGGGATCTATGTTGAACAGTCAACACAAAGTGACATAATATTAATGGCACCAAATATACCTCTTACAATAATGAATAATACTGCTGCAGTTGGTGCTGATATGTATGGATGTCTTGGACTAAATTATCAATTTAACTTCACATACCCACACATTAGTTCAACAGGCAATGCCTTGGTAATATGTTTCTGTGATCCTGATATTACAGCTGTTTACAAAAACTGTTCAAATAATGTAAGTGAACAAAAGATTTACGCAGGCCAAACATTAAAAAATTATGTGGCTTTGTTTGGTTACAGTTACTTCGGATCACTAACACTTACAGATGGTACAGTACAAGTATATAATGACACCAATTTCTTGCTTAATCAAACATACATTCCCAATACTTGCTCATTGATTGAATACACACCCAAACTGACTCAAACAGGACATCGAAGTTACTTAAAAATTACTTCTTCTTCACAGGGCATGACCCAAACTATATTTTTTCATTTCGTTGTTAATGAGTGTCCCATTGGTTTCAGTACAAGCAGTTCACAAGGTTCCTGTACTTGCAGTCAAAGTGTTTCAAGAGAGAATGTCACATGTGATATAAATACTCTAAACATTACACACAATGGTCTACTGTGGATTGGAACATATCATACCAGTACACCTTTCAATGCTAATGCAACCAATCCTAATGCATGCATTATCAATGAGGACTGTCTCTTCTATTGTTCTCCTAATCCTGTTACCTTTCAGTTGAATTATACTGATACTCAATGCGTGGATAATAGAGGACACAGAATGTGTGGATCATGTACAGAGAAATACAGTCTACTAATGGGATCAAACAAGTGTGGACAGTGTCATAATAATTACACGATGATAGCTTGGATTGCTCTGTTTGCAGTGATGGGTGTACTACTTGTGGTTTTACTGATTGCTCTCAATTTAACAGTATCAGTGGGTACACTCAATGGTCTATTGTTCTATGCTAACATTGTCAAGTTATACGAGCCAGTCTTTTCAAGGAAAGGAGTGTTACCAGTCTTGAGTCAAGTCATATCATGGATTAATTTAGACTTTGGGTTTGAGATATGTTTTTACAATGGTATGGACAGTTATGCTAAACAATGGCTCCAGTTTGCTTTCCCTCTCTACCTGTGGATCATTATCATTATCATTATACAATTGTGTAGGAGATATGGAAAGATATCAAGACTGATGGGGTTTCATGCTGTTCCTGTTCTATCTACACTTACTTTTCTCTCATATACTAAACTAGTACGTACTATTGTTATTGTACTACACAAGCGTGAGGTAACTCTTCACTGTACAAATGAGTCAGTAAGATCAGTTAATTTATGGTATGAGGATCCTAATGTTGAATATGGTAAAGGGAAGCATGCTGGTCTATTTGTATTTGCCCTATTGGTCACTGTTTTGTTTGTCATACCATACACACTGTTCCTATTATGTCATCCAGTACTTGAGAAGTATTTGTCACATTTTAAACTGTTTAAGAGCTGGAGTCGTTTCAAGCCTATTATTGATGCTTATAGTGGTCCAATGAAAGATGAGTATCGGTTCTGGCCTGGTCTACTGCTAGTGGCTAGGATACCAGCACTTTTAACTGTCACCTTTTTGAAGAATGATTCACGTGTCTTGCTATTGGCAGTAGCAGCTATTATCCTCTCCCTTAGTTTTATCTTTGGTGGTGTGTACAGAAAGAAATTGAACAATATTATTGAATTTTGGTTCCTATTAAACTTATGCATCATGGCTTCTTTATCTATAGCCTTTACTGATGAGAGTAAAGTATTGATCTGGTACAATACTTGTTTATCTGTTTTTATTCTTAGTTTCATTTTGATTGTTGTTTATCATCTTTACCTGCAGTTATCACATATGAAATGTTATGATGCTCTAATTAAGAAGTTATTCAAGAAACAAGATAAAGATGATGATCCTCTTTTAGATGTAACTGAATCACATCTAACTGTTGATCAGCAAAGGAGAGCTATGGTACCAAGTTCTACTGATGTTAGACGCTGTGTTAGTCGTGAATCAGTTGTTGATTTGTTTTAAATGTTTAGTAATTTTGCTGCCTGTTTTAATAAATCATAAACTATTATTAAATTTTCAGTTCATAATGTCATTTAGATAGATGATTTTTAATAACAGTCTCATTATGTGTGCATGTGCATCATTTTTAAAACACTTTTTTCTTTTTTATGATGTCTTTTTTTCTGAATGAACTATGAGCGACATAAAATTGCAAGAGCAGCCATCTCTCTCCTAGTCATTTTTGGCAATATTTTGTCAAAAACCCTGTACTATAGTACAGGGACATTGACTGGATTTTTGAGTAACTTTAAATTTTATAAAAATTCAATTTCAATTGAAATCAGCTCAAATTTGCTATGCATCTTTCCTTTATGCATATTATTCAACATACCGTAAATCCTTGCATAGAAACCGCATTCGAATAAACGCCGGGTAGCAATAAAATTAAACTATAAATACGCAACACTAGCCTAGGAGTGACTCAGTAGTCTAGTGGATAATGCCCGCTGAAGTCCCAGAAATCAAAAGCATGAGGTTACGGGTTCGAATCCCGCTCTGGGCTGAAGTTTTTTTTATATTTTTTTGGAGATCCAAATACCATTTTTAGGAAATAGACGCCCGGGCTTTTATTTAAGGAAATACGGTAATCCTATAGGGGAGGCCGGGAGGGGTTGTGTACGTGGTTTATCTGTTTGTACTACACAATATATAACCATTAAGTATAGACTCAAGTAAATAAAACAAATCCTTTGATTGCTTCTGAGCCCATTCCAGGGCTTTAGAGAAGTTACTGCTTCGATATTTTATCGATATTTCCTTATATCGATATGAAACTTTTGCAGTCGGGCAGCCAAGCCTGATTTCTTATTTCTGACCGGAAGTGACGTTTTTCTCAAAATGGCTGACTTTTAGTGTGGTAGTGCCACTTGCCTATTTTGATTGTTTATGTCAAAGCTAAGAAGTCTACAGTTACTTTGCTGTTTTCTGAACTTTTAGCATTGGATAGAGATGTAGCTAACTGATCTTCTACATTTATAATCAAGAACTGTTCGTGTTTCAGGTGCTTGTTTCCACTGTAAGGATTTAAAATGGCTGACACAAAAATCATATTAAATTCTATAACTTGTAAAATAGAGTGAATGCAATCACAGTTACAAGGTAGCTTATTAGTATTATACATGCCTGTTATTCTGCAAAGTAGGAGAAAAGGGAAAATTTTTCTAAGGTATTAAAGGTCCCAGCAAGTAGCCTAGCTATGTGTTTGTGTGTGTTTAACATTGTTGTATCCATGAGTATAGCTTATAATTCTTGATATATATGTAAATTGTAGCTATTGCAGTGGTTTTCAACTTTCTTTATATCTGTATTTGGAAGATATCTTGAGATTTCATGAGAGCCGCAATTTTTGTTCATATTTATACTCACATGAACTGTGTTAAGTATCTGGTTGCCTATTTTGGCATTATAGATGAAGGTTATTGTGAGGATATAGACTTTGATCCCAATTATTTTCTTCCTGGATAAAGATATCATGATTTATTACAATTTTTATAATAAATTTTAATTAATTTAATTATACTTAACAATAAAAAAATTGTAACTTCAGTATTCTTTGGAGTGCAATCATGAAATTTTGGTATGTGGTACTTAAAAGGTGTCTTTACAAGGTAATTGTTGTCTTACAAGTATTCCTTGTGAGGGAAAATTTTTCTAAGGAATAGAATTATTGTGTTCAAAATTAGCTGTAAGTTCCCCATAAAACAGCATAGCTTTGCTGTTTTCATAAATGATGTGCTCTATTGATCAAGCACTTTATCTCTCATTGTGGCAAGTCCATTGCTGTGATAGTTCTCTGATTCTATCCAAGTTTTCATGTATCTATGTATGCTACCACCCACGCAGTTGCTCAATGAACGAGAAATAGGTTTATACACAATTTATATGGACTTCCGGTTGCTTGGCTGCCCGACTGTTTGTAAAGAGGCCGTTCAATATGATAACCACACCCATTTATTAAAGTTAATAAACCATTTTAGTAAAGTTAACATAATGACCACACCCATTTATTAAGGTTAATAAACCATTTAGTAAAGTCAACAGGTTCTTTATTGAGCTTATTCACTAAAAGCCACTTAGATATATTAAATATCAGCTGCTACAGTGGTAGAAACTTATATGAAACTGTCTCTGAGGTATGAATTTATCACTTCCAACCAGCAATTACAAGCAATTACAGCTCACAATGGTAAAGTAGTGGGCGTGGCCATATCATATCGAAATAATATCGATATTTACAAAAATTGACCGATATATCGATAATATCGTATCGAAGCAAAAAATTTCCATATCGCCCACCCCTAGGGAGGGGTCTATTACTTATGATAATTTAATTAATTTTAGCAATAATTAACATTTTAATCAGTAAACAAACTAGGCAGACAGGAAAACAGCTGTAAGTTTTTTGGTCAATACCAGGAAGCAGACTGAGTACCATCAAGTTCTATACAAAGGGTATATTTAAAGAATTATTTTCAGCATAGATACATGTACCTGTATGCGTAGACAGTATTTGATTTCAGTCAAAAATTAACTGCACACAACACTGCAGCAACATACAGATCATTAGCCATAGGTCATGATAGGTGGTGGTATAGATAGACTAATGGCTCCTGGCCCCGCCCCTAATAGCCAAGCCCCAGCCCCCTTTAGTGCCAGTGCCCTACGAGTGTCAGCTTGTTGTTTAGAGAAATAATACAGCCTAGGAAATAGGTAAGAAAAAACTCATGATTATCAACATTAAACCAATTATTGGAGACTTATCTTTCCAATCCTCAGGTTCCTATTTATCTTGTGAAGAAGCGGCCGTTTTGATCTAAAAATAGGAATTTGGAATATTTAAAATTAACCCTTTGTCTAATACCTAAAAATAGAAATCAAGATGGCGGGAAAATACACGGACCTACTACAAATGTAATATTGATTCATTCCCATGCTTGAGAATATGAAGCACTCCTTCCTATTAAACTTCCTTAAAGATTATAGAATTAGCTTAGACTAGTACTACTATAGGCTACTCTTAATGTCAGAGCACTGCCTTTTATAAGAGAAAGTGATAATATATGTGTACCACGGAGTGGTGTGACATTCAGGGAAGTTTCGAAGGACTTCACGTAAATGTCATGTGTCACTAGGCCAGCTGGTGATCACGAGCTTCCAAGAACAACACGTGAAATAATTTAAAGGCCAAAAACAGGACGCAGCATATCAATAAAATATTAATACATGCATTTTATTGTTACAAGTATTATGCATATACATGTATTGTAATTTAATGCATTCATAAAATTCCCTTCCAGCATTTTATGCTACCACAATAAATTATTATTAAGCACAATTCCCAAGAAATGTATCTATTCACTATTTATTGACTTCGTTTTAAAAATTACATTTTCAAAAGCCACAAAGGAAGAGATGTAATAGGGGAGAGAGAAGAGAGAGCTGATAATACCTGTACATGCATATACATGTACATCATACATGTACATACAGTAGTAGACATATTCAACAATACACGAACCCATGTACTACATGTACCTGTACACATACTGTTGCTTTAAAACGAGGAAATATGACACTCACCTTCTTGAGAGAAAGAGAAAAGGAGGAGGGAAAAGTGTCCATTCTTGTATGTTGAAACAAAATGAGCAGACTCGGCCTTGAATAAAAGATATGTACATTCTATTTGTGAAAAAAGAGAGAGAATTGAGGACCGAGAAAGAAATTGAGGAAGAAAGAGATCAAATAAGATTAGTATGAGGGTGTTATACACAAATATATACAGGTAGATGTCAGGGGTTCATTAACTCTTATATGTCATCTTAAAATTTTTGGCAAAAAAAATTAATAATCAATAAGGAAAGACGACACAAAACTAAAACATTTTAATTACTATATAATATGCTCGTCAATATAACACCACTTAGAATATCATAACAATCTCATGCACGATGAGGAGTAACTACCTTAAGACAAAACTTGAAAAGGTACAGCACTAGATAGTAAATACTTAATCTGTACTTTACATATTACATGTACATGTATGTGTATATACTTCACATACAATAGAGTGGTGTGACTATGAGATTTTCTTCACGTGAATGCCATGCATAGATGGGTCAGCTGGTGATCATGAGCTTCCAAGAACTACACGTAAAATAACTTAAAGGTCAAAAACAAGACCGCAGCATATCAATAAAATATTAATAATAATAATACATACATACATACGTTTTATTGTTACAAGTATTATGCATAATACATGTATTGTAATTTAATGCATTAATAAAATTTCCTTCCATGCAGCTTCTATTATGCCACAAATAATTATATAGGCGGTAGCCTATATGTAGGATTGAGGTTGATTTTTCAAGATGGCGGCCGTTTTTATGATTTTCAAACACGCACAACTCTTTTATCTTACGTTGTACAGCCTTATAAATGGCTTAGATGAGCTCTCCTTCACTGAGCGATTCTCTTGGTACCTTTAGAGTGGACTGTAATGCAGCGGGAGCATTTCTGGAGAATAGGCCCAATTTCAAATTTCTGCAAAATTCTTCAGACTTTTTCTTCTTCTTCTTCTTCTTTCATCTTTCTTCTATCAACACGGAAATCTTTTAAACCAGAGAGCCGTTCAAGTTGGCTTTTACATCATTCCTTTGAGCTTGAGTCAAGGACTGGACATGTGGCTTCAAAAAGAAGCAAGGACAGAGAACAATGGAAGACAAATTCCAGCTGCAGCACCGCGTGGGTTTGTGGTTTGACGCCATTTTAATTTATGCGCACGTGATTAGCATGAATATGATTAACCTAACCACATAATCTTAACAGAAAGTAATTTTATAATTTAAGAAAAAAGAATGGAAACAAGTAAATAAAAAACATTAAAAATGGAAAAGTAGTAGGATTAAATTGTAAAAAAGTAAAGAAACAAGAGGGTACTTGCAAAGTGGTGTG